TTTTCCCCTTCTATGTTTTCAAATTGCTGTCTGTCCTTTCATGTTGCTCTTCATTCATGGAAACAAAAAGTTGCAAGGTATGAGGTCAGGTCAGTAAGGTGCATGGGGCAAGAGAGGCATGCTGGTTTTTGCCAAAAACTGGCACACTGAGATGCCTGCATGAGCAGGTGCATTGTTGTGGTGGCAAAACAGTCCACTGTCTACCACAAATCAGGCCATTTTTATCGCACACTGTTATTATACAATCTTTTCAGAACCTCTAAATAGAAAGCTTGAATAGAAGTCTGACCTGGTGGAATAAACTCCAAATGCACTATGGGTAGACATTTTCATCCATTTGGGAAGTTCGCTGATGTCCAGAATGAGGTTTGTCATCAATCAACATTTCACCGTTTTTGAAATGAGAAAACCATTGGTACACTTGAGTTTTTCCCATAGAGCTGTCCTTGTAAGCTGTGTTCAACACCACAACATTTTCTGTGTCATTTTTCCCTGAGCAGTAAACAAAATTTCACAGCCACATGCTTTTCTCTTACATTGGTCACCACAAAAAAAAATGAGGCTCACAAAACTGCTTTTACAAAAAAATTCACTATGACCAGAGGGAACCTTTCCAGGAGATGCCACAGGGTGCACCAAGTCAGAGTGATTTGCTTGATGCTAGTACTATGAAAGCTGTGTCCCGCGGAGCTTTTTTCCTTTTTTGGGGGTGGGTGGGTACCCCCTCGTATACCATAGTTTGGCCCTAGTAAATAAACTAGTAAATGAAATAGTGCTGCAGTGAGCATAGGTTTGCATGTATCTTTTCATGTTATGGCTCTTACTTCTGTAGAGTATATACAAAGTAAAGGGATTACTGGGTCATGAAATGTTTCTATTCCCAGTTGTTTGAGGAAGCATACCACTTTCCACAGTGCTACAAGTAATATACAATATATGAGGGTTCCAATCTCTCCTCACCCTCACCAGTTTGTTATTTTTTGTTTGTTTTTTTATTTAGACATTGCTATTAGTGCCATGTTGAGATGGTATCTCATTGTTATTTAGATTTGCAACTTTTAAATGGCTAGTGATCGCAAGCATTATATTATATATTGATTGGTCACTTGTGTGTCTTTGGTGAGCTATCTGTTCATGTCCTCTGCCTATTTTTAATGGAATTATTTGTCTTTTTCTTGTTGAGATGTTGAATTTTTCTGTGGACTTTAGAGGTTATAATCTCTTGTCTGATAGATGTATCATTGTCAAAACTATTTTTTCCTAGAGGAAAGAACTAGGAGGCAAAGGGTAGTCATAGAGATTTAAATACAGGCATAAAAGATGTAAATATATGTATATATGATGAGGGGGAAATAGATCTATATACATATATTTATAGGTTGAGTATTAAGAAAACAGGTGGACAGTAGGCCCCTGCACAAGTACTCCCCCAACACAAGAACACTTTGTTCTAACAATTCAGCAGTCTGAG